AAGAATTGTGGATGACTCTATTATGCTGAAAAGATCTTTTTCTTAAAGTTCCTTGTATCCGCGTATGGTTTTCACATTTATTGATGTTAATGGCTAACAATCCATGCAGGGACTCCATTCACTTTGGAGCTTTTGCACTGCGAAGTGATAAATAGCGCCGTCTGTTGTTACTCATTCAATAATTTAAATTGCTGTCTGCATATTATGTTGCATTATGTAGCACAAATATTACATTGTATAATTTATATACATTTGGTGTATTGAATGCCTTCTCTTGTGATGCGGTTCTCAATGCCAACTTGCACAGGCACATATAAAGAGTTACTAAATTAACAGGTGCCGGAGTTATTAATTCGATTAGAAAGACACCCTGGAAACAAGATTTATGAGCTTTCTAATTTATATATTGTACTGAAATTCCGACAATGAAACCAATTTAATTCTTGCCCGTCACTTTGATTAACACACAGAATAATTGTCCAATTCTGCTGCATTAAGCTTTTTTATTTTTTATAGGTAATCAGATAATTTTATTAATCAAAGAAGAATAGATAGGAAGTATATTATCAATTTAAATAAGAATGAAAAGACATAAAGTTAGGCAACCCCTCTATAGGATTACTAGTCGCGACATTAAATCAAGTATACAAAGTCAGATGTATTCCCTTTTTTTTTGGAATATCATCGTAATTTAATATATTTTATTAAGTTTCTGGATAGAAAAGAGTTCTATCACATCTCCTAAATTGTCTAAATTCAACCTGCATTTAATATTATGGTGCTGATCTGATTATATGATGTTTGGAGCATGAGCATTGTTTATAGTTAGGGTGTGTGCATGTTTTGTTAACTAAAGAGCTGTATATGTATAGTATAAACTCTATAAATAATAAGGTTGAGACTGGGAAATTATATCATATAATAGGGGTTATTAATTTATCGCATTAGTCCAAATTGGGACCAGGAAATTTTATTGATTTATAGAGGGCATATTATCCTATGTTGACTAGAGCATTTGTCCTTTTTTTCTTGAGTAATTAAGAGAGGGGAGTTCAGGTTAGAAGACAAGGAAGGTTGGGAATCAACTTATGGTGGAGTGATTAGCTAAGTTGAACGGGATGGATCTTTACTCCGTGCTATGCTTAGGATAACATGTGCTATGTCAGATGAACAGGCCTAAACAAGTAAATGAACAATCAAATTGGGAAGTCATTTAGTGATCATTCTCGGTAAGTGTATCAACGAGGTTGTTAGTTTTTACAAGTAATGAAAAATTTAGCAGTGAATTCTTCATACGAAAGTTCTGCTACAAATCCCTCATAGATAGCTTGGTTGGTGAACTATGCATTGCTATTTTCAAATTGAAAAGACTGATTAAGATGTAAGTTCAGATGTGAGAGCCTACCTGAGGGTACAAAACAGAGCATGTTTAACATGTCTTGAATATGCACTGGACCTACAGCAATCCAACTGTGTGGCTATGCATATATGCGTCCGTTTTGAGGTCATTGTATAACTTAATAACTTAATAAATTTTCTTAGGAAAGAACAGACAAAAGAGTTTTAACACATATGACAATGAACCTTAAGGCATCAAACATATTTACTTTTCAATTGTTGATGGTACAATGATAAAGCTTATATATAAGTGAATCTCTACACCTTCACAAAATTAGAAGAAATTTTTAACTGAGCAACATGTTCTAATAGTTTAGTTACTCAAATTATAAATGATCACAACAGTGATCGAGCATCTATTGATTTACAAAATCAGTTTGTTTAAACTTGTACAATGAGATGATTTACTTTAAGAATATGAAAGAACAAAAATTTATTAAATAGTGTACTGTGTACCCTCTCCCTCTGCAAAATGAAACTGTTAATTGCTTATTTTTAAGAGAAGAAATGAAAATGTTGTGTGAATGTTTTACATAGATATCTTGTCAGGTTTAAGGGTTACATTGATTCTATTTCGTTTTTCAGCACAATGTTCTGATTGAAGTACTCAAGGAATGGACTGGCTGTTTTTTGCCTGCTGTAAGCGTTTATGAGTGATGTTCAGTGGGCAAATAAATGCTAATTCTCTTAACATATTCAAATGGAAATGGCACAGTACATCATCTCTAAAGATAGGGTTGCTTAAAGATGTACCTCCAGAAATTGAATTGTCCGACTATCATAAGCCCCCAAGCCCCCGTAGTGAAAGTCTGTCTGGGCTTCTCGATGGTGAGACTTCAAATGTAGAGCCCATGTTTTGAGTTTGACTTAACTTTTATATTAAAACAAAGAGTAGCGCCGTGATCTATGGAAAGGTTACATAAGAGTTGAGAACATGAATAAAGTGGGCGAAATCTATAATTAGATGTGCTACAAACGTTAATGTAGCAAGATCATAATGAACAAGAAAATTAATGGTGCATGAGAGATCATAAGCAAGATCCAATAAAAACCTAAAAAATGTGAAAACCTACCTCCTGAAAATATTCAAAAGTTATCAGAAATTCGTTGAAAACACCAGGTTGTGCTTTCGAGCATTGTTAACGACGTTGAATTAACGGATTGAGATCCAATTTTCACATTGTTGCATCTCCCTTCAATTCTCATTCCACTCCAAATCTCGAAATAAATTGCAAACTGGAACTCCACATCAGTTACAGTAACTACAGGATCTTCAACGGTGGCGCCACCACTTGCAGCTGCACTCAACGAAGATTCAGCGTCTTGGTGTTGATAAACGGCACCGTTACTGCTCCTGGAATGAATTCCCCGACGGAATAAACAGTGACTGTAATTGGATGGTAAGAATTCGCGGTTAACTTGTTAGGGTTTCTCACCAAGTTTTCGAAATCCCATTTTGCAGTCGCATTCGATTCGCAAAAATTAGGAGAAACCCTAATTGAGTTAATATTTATTTTGGGATCATCATTACTATTAAAAATAATGCATAAAAGCAAACGAAAAGGATCAGAATCAGATAAGAGTGTTATGATGGCAAAAATTTTCCTCCTTGAATTCTCTGGCGAAATCGACATAGTCGACGATCACTTCTTTAGAGGTTGAGACGACTCTACATCATAACAAGTGGTCACTGCTAACTGAAATTAAGCCGATTTTGGATGTAGCATAATGTACACACGTTGATATGAAACAACATACTTCGAGGAGTCCTAGTCTAACGCAATTTTCCGATGTCACGCAAGCCTATGTCTGGCATCTACCATTCTAAAACTTATTTTTTTCCTCAAACTCATTTTCGACCATATATTTGATAGAATTCATAACTTTTATAAAAATCTATTGAAATTTTTATTTTTTTATCTAAATCAAACTCCGACTTAAGTTTATGCTTTCACATAAATTCTTTGCGTTACCATGATGCTACAATATTGACATGACATGTATCGTCTTTGACTTTCTTGAGCTTGCTCGTTTAGAGTTCGATCTTGTTCGATATTCATGACATTACTATCTTGTTCGAAATTATATGAAAAGGGTGTATTTTCAGAGGTTTTATTCTTGATAGTATATAAAATATGAAATCTTACATTTTATGCAAGTTTTTCTCGTGAACGAGAGACCAATTTGTACTTTATACGTAAAAGATAGTACATGAACTTTAATGACTTTACATTTTGAATACTGCATTACTTTTATAAACTTTAAAAAAAGTATCAATCCAATACTTCACGACTTTAAAAACTTTTTAAAAGTCTTTAAAAAGTCTACAAGAATATCATGCAAGTAATGAATAATGTAAAATGAACTATAAAATCTCGATAATGATCTCACAACGTATACTAATTATATACAATTTAAATGTTCCATCATGAAATATTTCTCTTGATTAATTATAGTCAATATTAATTACGTAAACTGCAAAGTACAAGGAATCAAGATAATTGTGACATCATATTAAGCCTTGTTTGGTTTTCATTATTTTCGAAATACTTTTTTCTTTCTCTTATTTTCAATCACACATTATTCGATGTAAATCAAAAAAATATTAATAAAAGAATAAATCTATATGTACATAATCATTGTACATAATGGATTACATAGATTTATGTGGAACAGTGGAAGAAATCCGACCTTGGATGTGAAGTGTGGAAAAGTAAAAAATTGTAGACTGTCGATGGATGCGCGCCACATGTCAATTGTGTAATGTATTATGTAAATGATTATATACTTGTAGCATGATCCTTAATAAAATATCAACAAGATTCTCGACAAAAATGTTGATATTGGTCAAAAAAATATAATTTCTTTAGTAGTAAAAAAGTTAGTTCAAAGAGAGAGAATCACATAAATCTTAATTTAGATCATAATCTTCAATTAAGTCGAGAAATTATTTATTTATTTCGATTGGGACCGTAGACCAAAATTAAGAAAATAAAAAATTATATCTCTAATATGCAGTGAAATTTCCGATTTGAGTTAATAATACTAATTAAGACTGACAATGTGTGTGTGTGTGTCTATATATATATATATATATATATAGCAATTTAAGAGAAAAGAAGGAAGCCATCTTTGTTTATAATATTTTGAGTAATGCTACGGGTACATAAGTATCTACACAAGGGTTGACTTAATTACACGTGGCATATAATTCAACCTTTAATTCAAATTTCACACTTACACACCAACAATTGGATGATTGACACATCGCCATTATGTATACCATTATGTGCATCATTATGTACCTCTAGCATTATTCTAATATTTTATATTTTAAAATTTTCAAATTTTGAACAATTGGATTCAATGATCATTCAAAAGCATTTTAAAGTTCGGTGAATATAATATGATGGAGATATAAGTTCACCATCGAAACACGTCGAGTGAATAATGGAGTGTAACACGTTGAATTTCAGTAATCATTTGAAATTATTTAAACATTTGGTTACTAATGAAATATGATGAGTGAGCGATGATGTTACTTCGTGTTAAAATTTAGCGACCATTCGAAAACATTTTAAAATGTAGTGATTAATACGTAAGTGAGGTATAAATTGAGTGAGTAATGAAAATTTAAGTCCAATTTCATTATTCTCTCATTTTTTTTTCAGGTGATATTAGAGAGAGAAGAACAAATACGCATCCTCGGTCTATTTTTATTATTTTATTATTCGTTCAGTAATATAGGGAAGGTAAGAAGCAAGAACTAAGAAGGGAGAAGGAAACCCAATATACTTGGGACTTGGACAAACAAATATAATTTTTTTAAAAAAAACTAACAATTCGCTCTTCGCTTTACACGCAATCACTATCAAACCCTTTCGTTTTCTTTTTATCAATTTATTCCTTAAAAGAAAAACTTCAGCCGTCTGCAATCTGCTCGTGTTTAAATTTCTTAACTCTATATAATTTTCATTTTTTGTAACGATTTAATTTTTATATATTCTTTCATTTATAGCGGTGAGTTTTGGCTTCATCGGACCTGGATTTTCTGTGGGTTTCAGGTAAAAATTTCTCTTCTTTTGTGTTTATTTACTTATTGTATATCAGGGATTCCAAACAATCAGAACTAGAAATTTTCTTATATTTTTTCCCTTATGTTTAATGGTTATTTTTCTTGGAATTTTATAATTTTTTTACTTGTGTGATGTTAAGTGAGCATTATCTTTTTTAGCTGTTTTTTCCTGTGCTCAGAATGCAGTTAAGTAGAATTCTGGATCAAATAATATTCAGTTAGTATCCAATCAACTGAAGTTACAATCTTGAATTTTAGATTATTGGCAGCTAAATCATAATTATTTACTTCAAACCTTTATCAGTAAATTATATCCCCTTGACATTGCCCTTTTAGGAAAAAAAAAAAGAAGAATTGTGGATGACTCTATTATGCTGAAAAGATCTTTTTCTTAAAGTTCCTTGTATCCGCGTATGGTTTTCACATTTATTGATGTTAATGGCTAACAATCCATGCAGGGACTCCATTCACTTTGGAGCTTTTGCACTGCAAAGTGATAAATAGTGCCGTCTGTTGTTACTCATTCAATAATTTAAATTGCTGTCTGCATATTATATTGCATTATGTAGCACAAATATTACATTGTATAATTTATATACATTTGGTGTATTGAATGCCTTCTCTTGTGATGCGGTGCTACAAATCCCTCATAGATAGCTTGGTTGGCGAACTGTGCATTGCTATTTTCAAATTGAAAAGACTGATTAAGATGTAAGTTCAGATGTGAGAGCCTACCTGAGGGTGCAAAACAGAGCATGTTTAACATGTCTTGAATATGCACTGGACCTACAGCAATCCAACTGTCTGGCTATGCATATATGTGTCCGTTTTGAAGTCATTGTATAACTTATTAACTTAATAAATTTTCTTAGGAAAGAACAGACAAAAGAGTTTTAACACATATGATGATGAACCTCAAGGCATCAAACATCTTTACTTTTCAATTGTTGATGGTACAATGATAAAGCTTATATATAAGTGAATCTCTACACCTTCACAAAATTAGAAGAAATTTTTAACTGAGCAACATGTTCTAATAGTTTATTTACTCAAATTAAAAATGATAACAACAGTGATCGAGCATCTATTGATTTACAAAATCAGTTTGTTTAAACTTGTACAATGAGATGATTTACTTTAAGAATATGAAAGAACAAAAATTTATTAACTAGTGTACTGTGTACCCTCTGCCTCCGCAAAATGAAACTGTTAATTGCTTATTTTTAAGAGAAGAAATGAAAATGTTGTGTGAATGTTTTACATAGATATCTTGTCAAGTTTAAGGGTTACATTGATTCTATTTCGTTTTTCAGCACAATGTTCTGATTGAAGTACTCAAGGAATGGACTGGCTGTTTTTTGCCTGCTGTAAGCGTGTATGAGTGATGTTCAGCGGGCAAATAAATGCTAATTCTCTTAACATATTCAAATGGAAATGGCACAGTACATCATCTCTAAAGAGAGGGTTGCTTAAAGATGTACCTCCAGAAATTGAATTGTCCGACTATCATAAGCCCCCAAGCCCCCGTAGTGAAAGTCTGTCTGGGCTTCTCGACCCACTCTGAAGTTTACATCTCGGGTTTGACGATCTGGATCTGTTTATTGAGAGGATTTACACCTACTACTGCGAGAAAGGGCTTTGGTGCATTATTTTCAAGTGGATTTTCGAGCTTCTGAGCCTTCTTTTCATCATATGTTTCTCTGGATTTTTTTTGTTATTTGTCGATTGGAATGGACTTCGCAATGCGAAGTGTGGAATGGATGCAGTGGAATCTGGAATTAAGCCTTGCGATCTTTCTGAGGAAGCTTTGCATAAGCATCCATTCACTCCTTTTACTCTTTCCAAAGCTATAATTGTAGGATACCTTGGAATATTTTCCATATACTGGATCTTCTGTTTCTTGAGGTTTTTCACGCAATTAAAGGAGACTCTTAAGATCCGTCAGTTTTTCTACGGCAGGTATGTCTTGATCTAATATGGAATTTAACAGGGTTCAAACCCAGCTAAATGACATGTTTGGCTAAGCTTAAAAAAAGTGAAAAAATTTTGTAAGTGAAGAGTGAAGACTGAGAGCCTGTTTGGCTAAGCTTTAAAGCAAGTAAAAGTTACTCTTTTAAGTAATTTTCATTTCCAAATGGTTTGAGGAAGTTACTTATTTTGAAATTTTATTCTCAAAATAAGTAATTTATTGTAATCTTAACAAATGATAAATTATATTTGTATAAAACTTGTTTATTTATTAGTAAACTTGTACCTTTAGAGCTCCATCCCTTTTTTTTAATCTTTTCATGGTTATATACGTTTTGGGGGAGGGAAGAAGTGTGGACCATGGATTACACATGGCATTCGTCTTGGTTGTCTTAACAATTTGACATCAATCTAGGATTGTCTTTTAGAACGATTGGATCTGTTGGTTTTTTGACTTACTAAAATAATTGAATGTTTTTTGTGCAGTCTCCATGTAACGGACAATGAAATAAAAACTATGCCATGGGCATTGATTCTTGAAAAAGTCGTTCAGGTACAAAGTTTGCAACAACTATGTGTGGTCAAGGATCTTTCTATTCACGACGTGGTGATGCGATTGATGCGGAAGGAGAATTATTTGATTGGAATGGTTAATAAAGGAGTGCTTGCTTTCCCTATTTCTGGGTGGGTTCCAGGTGCTGGTCCAACTTTCAGAGTTGGTCTAAATGGCGTGCAACATCGACTAGTACTAACAAAGACACTTGAATGGATCTTGAATTGGTGCATGTTGCAGAGCATGTTTGACAGGTAGTTATGATCTCCCCCCTCTGCACACAAAAGCATCTGTGAAATAAATAATTATCATTATTTTCTTGGGGTGGGCGTGGGGAAATGGAAGAGATCCTTTATTTATGGGCAGTCAAATTGTTTTATTTTTGGCATTTTAAGATAGTAAATTTCTAATGAGGTTATTTAACATGTGTTATGATACACAACTGTTGCATGGTAATATGTTGTGTGAGCTTTTGATATACGTAAAAGACGTGATACTAGAGATTAAACACTAATGATCAGAATTGTTGGAACACTCATTTTGTTTCAAGAAAAAGTCTCCTTAATTTTGTCTCCTCCTACATTATGATATCTTGACAGATGATGGTGATTATGCATATATTCTTTTGGTGTAAAGTTAGACTAGTCTTGTTTGACTGTAAGAAAATACACATGTTTAATTTGTTTGCAGACCATTTTATTTCAGTCTTCTGATCTAAACATTCGTTAATTCCACAGAAACTTTTGTCTGCGGAGGGAGTTTGTCTCGGATCCTAAAACATTAAGGAAAAGGCTTATGATAGTTGGCTTTGCAATGCTGCTTCTCTCTCCTTTTCTTGTCATATTCATGCTGGTATATCTTTTTTTAAGACATGCTGAACAGTTTTATAATCACCCGAGTACGGCGTCACATCGAAGATGGTCAAACCTCTCCAAGTGGATGTTTAGGGAATTCAATGAGGTATGACTCTTAAATTTGTCTGCTTGCTCGGCTCTATTTCTCATTCTTTTTCTTGAGGGGAGGCCGGGGGTTAAGAAGCTATATGGTCCAATTCTTGCAATTTATAATTATTTGTCATACTGAAAATTGCTGCTACTCATTACTTATGCTGATTGTACTTCTTTAAAAATGCATCTGAAGGTTTGCATCCTGTACATGCTTAAATTATTCAAAATAACCTTTTTTTTTCTTTTTGGTTGTTGAAGAGGGTTATGTCACTTATGGCGTCTCATCTTTCTTGTACAGGTTGACCATTTGTTCAAGCACCGGATAAATAGCAGTGTGGTGCATGCTTCAGATTATCTCAAGCAATTCCCTTCACCTATACTAACCATTGTTGCGAAGTTTTTCTCATTTGTTTTTGGTGGCTTTGCTGCTGTCCTCATAATTATTGCCTTCCTAGAAGAGTCTCTGCTAGAAGGCCATGTAATACTATTGACTCACACCACTTACATGTATTTGGCAATATGCTTGTTGTTGTAATTAAGGCATTTTTTTTCCATTTAAAATTTGTTTGAATCTCGCAGATATTTGGTCGCAACTTATTTTGGTATGCAGCAGTTTTTGGGACTATAACTGCTATAAGTCGGGCTGCAATAGCGGATGAGTTGCTTATCCTGGATCCACAGATGGCAATGTCACGTGTGGTCCAACATACACATTATATGCCAAAAAGATGGCGGGGAAAGGAGAATACCAAGACTGTACGGGCGGAATTTGAAACTCTATTTCAGGTATTCACATGCTATATGCTTGACTAGACTTCAGTTTCTAAGCTGGTTAACTTGAAATCTGCCCCTGACTCCATTTACAACCAAGGTATTTTGTGCCAGTACGACCTTAAATTTAAATTTTGGCAGTCAAATCCTCAACCTTCCATTAATGTAGTAGATTTAGTCCGTGCAGACAGTTCCGCTCTGAATTGACATTACACTTGCTCGTGCATTGCAAATGATGTACAGTTTCCCCCTCCATCAATCACTTCCCCTCCCCACCCCAGCAGTTGACCTCCCAAACCCCACCTTCACCTCCTCTTTACTTTAATTTTTCGTTAAATCTATATGTATTCACTTATTTTAGTCCTCGATAAGGGGGGATACGTGAGACATGTGCAATTTTAATGTGCATTTGGATGAAAACCATCCCCTAGGACTAAGTTCGCTACATTAATCAAAAGGTTGAGGATTTAGCTGCCCAGATGTAAAGGTTATGGATGTTTTTGCACAGAATGCATAGGTTGGGGGTCCTCTGCTACAATTTTACCTTTCAAATATTATTAATTAACTGCTTGTTTCATGAAGAGTTCGTTGGAATAATTAGGCTGTTTTCAGTGGCTTCTAGTATGGCATATTCACAGTCCATCCCTCCCTCCACCCTATTCGACCCGTTTCTGCCCCTGGTTTATTAAATATTCTACTGCTGTTGTAATGCCAAGTGGTCCTATGAGTGCAAGAAGTTCATTATCAAACATAAATGTTTTCGAGTCTGCTATTATTTTTTTAGCATTCGATTGTTATTGATATATGCCACTGATGCCAAAAGTTCATTGATTTACGGAACCACACAATTCATAATCCTACCTTCTAGCTCCTGTTTATTCACTCATGTATGCCAGGAAATAGATATCAAGACTCTAATTCACCCCAGGTACAGAGAATTTGGAGTCATTACTTCATGTAGATTACCAAGAATTTGGACAGATATATAATTAAGAAGACTCACTTTCTTATTGAATTGGCACTCGTCTAAACAGATCTTTAGTGATCTTATTTGTACAATGCAACCAAATTTCTAGTGCGAGAAGGAAATCTCAAAATTACTATAAATAATCCTAGCGCTAGTTGTAGAAATAAAGCGCAAGTCACCAAAATAAATACCCTAATACAGGAGGAAAATCTAAAAACTACTATAACAGTGCTTAAATTGCAAAATGGCCATAAAAAATCCCTAATTTCCGTTTATGGGGTGCATTACTTTGAACTACTGTAGGCTAACATAGATGTATTTCTTGGTGCAGTACAGTGGAATGATGCTGCTGGAGGAGATGGCCTCAATCTTTATCACGCCATACTTGCTTCTATTTGTTGTCCCAAAGGTTGTGATTTATAATGTTCTTATGTCACTCCAGTTTCTGAACTAAGAAGCTGTTTTGATGTTGCAGCGGGTGGACGACATTTTGCAGTTCATTGTGGATTTTACTGTGGACGTTGAAGGTGTAGGTCATGTTTGCTGGTTCGTATAGCATATAACTTCTCCTTTTCCACTTAAACTATGACCGCAGTATAGTATTCAACATTATACATTACTGGGCAGTACACCAAACAAGATTTTAGGTTATTAAGGTTTTCCTGCACAATAGGTTGTGTTTTCCTCTTTATACTGTCCAAATCCAACAACTTGATGTATTTTTCTCCTCCGGCAGTTTCAGTGTCTTCGATTTTGAAAATCGTGGCAACAGCAAATATGGTTCACCATTTAACTCACCTCGCATCCAGAGGAGCTCCCAGGGGAAAATGGAAAAATCGACCTTGAGGTATAACTATCTTTATTTGAATAATAAACCCTGGCAAGTAATCATGTCAAATACTTCTATCTTGGCCTTATTTGTGAACATTTGAGATGGTTCTGGTGACCTCAACTACCATGCTTGCAGCTTCCAGATTAGCTATCCTTCATGGGAACCGGATGCTCAGGGGAAACAATTTCTTGCATCTCTCAAAGCCTTTCGAGATCAAAAGTTGCAAGGACAAGGAACGAGAATTGCAGAGTTGGCTTCTAGAATGCAGCAGCAGAGTCCAAATTTTGGAGTGTTTGGTGGCCGAAACAGCTTCTTCTTGAGGGAAATGCCTTTTGGTAACGCTGTAACTGGTTCAATGTGGCTGATAGATGGTGAACAGAAGAATTTTCCATATATTCTTGACTGGTATTATACCTCACAAAATCACGATAGAGCTTTTCATACAAGAGACATTTCATTTAACACTTTTGCTGGTGTCGAGGATAACCCTAATGACATCTGGAATGCTTCCCACTCATCCGAAAAAGACGCAAAATATGATGACAACTGGAGATATTTTGATGACGATCGTGTGCAGAGTCATCTCGAGGTTTCTACATCTTCTCCTCTCTTTCGGGAAAGTGTCTTGCAACATCACAACACAAGTAATGCAGAACACCACCCGTCCAGGAGCCATTGGTGGGCTAGAAGTCAACCACAAGGCACCGATCCGCAGACAAGTTTTCTTCATCCCCCAAATTTCTTCCACAATGCTCCGCATGATCATTACGATAATTTCTCAGACCAGAGTGTGGAGGATCAAGAACACTCAGAATGGAGGAATCGTAAGAGGCTTTCCCAATCTTTCCTTATGGATGACTTGGATGGTGGCGAATTCCGTCTTCCATTCGATGATATATATACAAGCAGGCCTTTAGAGAGGCCTACTGGGAGTGCAGATCCTTTAAATATTGTGTAATTCTGCAGGAATGCTTCTCTAAATTCTTTGTTGTATATATCTTGTATATAATTAAATATTGAATAGGCTTCAGGTTGATTTGGAGGGGAAGGTGGATGCTACTAAAGTCTGTTGAAAACACTGACATAAACAATCATTTGTCTTTTCAAACCATTCCTCGTACTTACGTAGTACACTGTTCATTTTATTGTGTCTATCAGCAAATCTTTCAGAACAAAAAACATGCTATTGCTACATGTATAGGGATTTTTTCGGACAACTTGTCAGTTGTCATAGTTTCATTGAATGTTGGACAAAAAACAAATTTAAACCAATCAATCCACAATTGCCACCTCATCATCCATAATACTTTCTTGTACATTTCATCTACAAGGAGCTTAATTCTCACAACAATGCTCCGAACAGACCTCAAAGTTTGTGTTTGTTAATTTTGATGCACATAAAAAGTGAATACGTATATTATTATTTTGACAAAATGTAATTTATTAAAGAATGTTACTCAGTCTAACTAGTGTTTAGCACTCGTTTATGTGGCTGTGAGACATAAATGTGTTGATGAAAAATGGTGAGTTTAATGCAGTATGTAGATGAAAATGAATTTAATTTTTAATTTTTAATTTTTTGAGAACTGAAAGGCTCATAATGTTGGGAACAAACCTTCAATTTTTGACAGAAAATGAAAATCTAGCTTCAAGGGTTTAAAGAACCGAAACCAGCGGAAACAGAGCACAGTCAGTAACCATCAAATTCCCTACAAGTCCATCACCAGGAGAAGAGCTTCGTCGAGAATCCACCACCAATGATCAGTCTTTGAACCACGAGTCACATACTCTGATTTCTTGTTCAAAGACTCAATCTTTACTCTTTTCCAGCCCCAAAACCCATAAATTTCAGACCGCCTTATCTCAGAATCTGAACACCCTTGTTGAACCAAATGGCCAAAATGTCTCTCAGTTATCCTCAAGACAGAGGAAAATTAAAGAAAGATCACAAATTGAGGAGGCTTTTGAGTCGGCCAAGTCGGCAGATGACATGCTTGAAGCATTCAAAGACATGGAGGCGTCCTTTGATGAGAGAGAGCTGGGCTTGGCGTGCTTGAAAATGGGCCTCAAACTTGACCAAGAAAGTGAGGACCCTGAAAAGGCTCTGTCTTTTGCTCGGAGGGCTTTGAAAATTATGGATGATAATCAGAATGATAGTAATAAGTTTTTTTTTGCCTCTTGCCATGACTTTGCAATTGTTGGGTTCTGCTTCTTATAGTCTAAACAGGTTTAATGATAGTTTGGGGTATTTGAATAGGGCTAATAAAGTATTGAGTAAGTTAGAGGAGGGTTCCTGTAGTGCTAATGATATCAGACCTGTTTTACATGCTTTTCAATTTAATTGTATAATACTAAGACGGCAATGGGTAGGAGAGAGGAAGCTATTGGTAATCTTAGGAAGTCTTTAGAGATTAAAGAAATGACTCTGGAAGAAGATAGTAGAGAACTTTGGAAGGCTAATAGGGATGTCGCAGAGGCATATGTGGCTGTTCTGAATTTTAAGGAGGCACTTCCGTTTTGCTTGAATGCAATAGAAATACGTAAAACGCAGTTGGGGCATAACTCGGTGGAGGTTTCCCATGATAGGAGGCTTCTTGGAGTTATTTATACTGGATTAGAGGAGCATGAGAAGGCGTTGGAGCAGAATCAATTGTCACGGAGAGTTTTGAAGAGCTGGGGTCGTAGTTCAGATTTGCTTCATGCTGACATTGATTCGGCCAGCATGCAAATTGCCTTGGGGAGGTATGACGAGGCTATTAATACTTTGAAGGGCGTTGTTCAGCAGACTGACAAAGAGAGTGAGGATCGAGCTATGGTCTTTACTTCCATGGCCAAAGCTTTGTGTAATCAGGAGAAGTTTGCAGACTCAAAGAGGTGTCTTGAGTTGCCTGTGGAATTCTCGACAAGAAAGAAAGCTCTTCACCTCTCAATGTTGCTGAGGCATTTATGGAAATTTCTATGCAGTATGAGACTATGAATGAATTTCAAACTGCGATCTCCTTGCTAAAGAGAACAGTGGCGATGCTTGAGAAACTGCCTCAAGAGCAACATTCAGTGGGAAGTGTTTCTGCAAGAATTGGTTGGTTGCTTCTGTTGACAAGCAAGGTGGAAGAGGCAATTCCTTACTTGGAAGATGCTGCAGAAAGATTAAAAGAGAGTTTTGGTTCCAAGCATTTTGGAGTGGGTTATGTTTATAATAACTTGGGAGCACCGTATTTAGAATTAGAAAGACCACAATCAGCTGCCCAGGTTTTTGCATATGCGAAAGATATCATGGATGTGTCTTTAGGTCCTCATCATGCGGATTCAATAGAAGCGTGTCAGAACCTTTCAAAAGCATATGCTGCCGTGGGAAGGTAAAATTTGAAAAACAATAGCCTTTTCAAGTTCTAGATGAATGTTTTAATTTTTGTTCCCACCATATGTTGTCACAAAAAAAAAAAACTTTATTAAGTTTCTGAAATATTTCTAGAGATTGCATCTTGCTATACTTTCAAACACTCCTTGTGGTTCATACATTGTGCAAGTAGCTATCATGATGATATTCATTGTTGGACTCTCTTTGACACTTGATAGTTAATCATTGTCAAGATAATAGGCATCACCATGTACATCATTAAGAATGGGATGGAGTTTTTTCCCTTTATTCTTTTGGGATGTGTGTGGGGTTGGGGGGATTGGAACTTTCCAGAGCTTCTGCTACTCAGTAGAGAGTCGAGGCTTGAAACTTTGTTTTAGAAAAGGAGAAATGAACCAAAAACAAATGTGATCTTTTACTTGTGCCTGTATGTTGGAACGATAATAGCTTTATTCGCATGTTGCATTATATTATGCACATACAGGTGCTCCAGCTTACTCCTATTGAATATCGATTTATGCTTATTTATGTTGATCAAGTGAATGCGCACATAATAATGCATACATATGGATATGGTTGTCAATGGATATGTAAACACTAGATTGAACTTTGCAGTCACGATATTCTCTGCTAATCCTACTGGAAATAACAAGCTCTATCATACAGTAATACCAGCCAAAACGTTATTGTTGTTTTCTCACAAGTTGATTTTTCCATTTGATATGTTCAAGATGCATATTTTATGAAAATATTTATGTGTAAACCAACGAAAATTGGTCCTTATAAATAATTTGTTTCTTTTAATGAAGCTCATTCATCAGTTGTGTAATTAACCATAAGTTTCTGAAGAGTGTTTCTTGAGTATTTTAGTTATCCCAATCCAAATACTGTTACTGACCTATCATCTTTCTGTATCAAGAGTCCTTTCTAGAGAACAACACAATGGTTTACCTTTAAAATCTTAAAAGCTGCGCTATCGAATAACTGAATTGAAGTTCTTTTTCCTATGCATGCTTGAGCTTTCCCGTTGTGCTCATTTCTCATGGCATAATATATTTCCAACTTTGATTATGTTTCCCTCTATTCGAGGGGACAAATAATGACAGCTTGAGCAATTTCAACCTTAGAGTTGCAAAAAAGGTGTTCTACAGCTATGGTAAAATTATGTGGAGCAGTGGACACTTTCTGCAGGGATCAGCACTAATTTTAAAAATCATTGATTATTCTCTCGTTTTTACTATTGAGTTACGAAATTTATGTGGAAATCGTGCGTATTTCTTTTCTGCTTGCTTATTCAGGAATGAGGGGTAAATCTGCCAGTGCTCATGACTTTTACTTGAAGGACGCAACGTTTTGATTTTATGCTTAAAACTTTCTTTCCAATGCTCCTTTAGAAAATCGTTTGAAAGAATTCCCAGATTTGTTATGGATAGCCAAGACCTCCATTAACGGCTGAAATCTCGTAAGATATGGATAAATTGATGAATTGGTCTGTCCACCTGTTCCTTTAAAGCTCCACCAAATAGAATAAAAATAAAACGGTAGATTATTATTCTATCAATTGATTCAAGATTATCTTGATATTATGTATTTTTGGTTTCTATTGTCGTACAGTTGCTCTTTTTTTTGTCTGGTGGAAAATATTTTATATGACATCTTTTTTCCTTCCTTAATTGAACTGCTATCTACTTGCCATTAACTTCCAAGAGAAGGTAGTTGAAGCTTGGGAGGGCCACGGACCAAGTGCTCAAGATGACCTCAAAGAAGCTATTCGAGCTCTTGAACAATTAAAGTCAAAAGCTCGTGGTTCATCCACCGAGTCTGTTACGAAGGCCTTGCCTTTGCCCCGTGACAGTGAAGGTATCTCTGGGAGGAATCTCAAGTCTCGTGTTTCCATCATGGAAAGGTAATTGATTGTAATCTATAGCGACATATTCTTTTACAACATAGAACAACACTGAAAAGTTGTGTTTTTCCTCGTAACAGTCGGATCTTGTTTGTTGTTTATTCTACTTCACACATGATGACTTTTATTGGGTGAGTCATTTGAGGAGCTGAAGAAATTTTCGAGAGGCTACTTTTATTTACTGGTCATATTTATGTTAGAGTGGCAACTATATTAAGATGTTACTCCCTACCAGGCTGTGTACTGAACCCCAAAATAAGCCTGTTATAATTGAATAATATTTTCAATATTGGCTTGCTGCTGTTTATCTTTTCGACTGTGCATTCCCTCTTGATGTGCGAAGCTATTTCAGATTTTTGCTTCTGGACTAAAAATAAAGTGTATGTAAGCCAACATGTGGAAGTGGTTCCAATTTAGGATAAATTAGGGGAAGAAAGACTACGTTGATTGGATCCTGTTCTGCATCGACCTAAAGAGGCGCCAGCTCGTATAGAGTCATGCACTTTACTGATCCTTACAGCTATATTATCCAGTTTGTTGCTGATGATATATCCGGTCCGACTACAGACGGCCGGGCATGTATAGATCCTCGCTCATTTTGACACATCCACCTTATTGTATTATTTCCTCGGAAATTTTCCCCACGTACATGGGAATTGCACATGGTCAATACAGGGGTACATGTCTTAGCCTATTACGGGGGGCACCTGTCGACCTATATGGACCCTGTGCTATTTTTTTTTTTTATAAAGGTAATCAAATATTTTATTAATCAGTGCATAATACACAGGAAGTGTATTATCAACTAAAATCGGAAAGTAACAACATGAAATTAGACAACCCATCTTATATGCCAAGTGTACAATGTAAAATAAAACAATTTCCTAATCTGTTATTTTACTTGTAGTGTGATTCTATTTCCCTAGAGGATGTAAGAGTTTCGGTTCTTTAAGACTGGAACTCGGTAGAGCTTACGGGAATATTGAGGGGTATAGACCAAAACTAACCTCACCGGTTGCTTATCAGTATGTTTAGGTGTGCTTGTACTAGCTTATAAGTATTTGAGCGAACTACTTTTGTGGCTCAAAATAAACAAATTGTGAGTTTCAAAAGTCTTTGTGGTTCTTATTTTATCTATTTTTTTTTGGGAAAAACGGCTTTTAAAATGACCAATTACACACTAGATCTTTTAGTAGATCAAAAGACGTGTAGAAAATGTTCACGTAACAAACTTTATATTCTAAGCCCCTATTTGTTTGTCATTTTCTCTCTCATTTTTAAAAGAAATTAGACTATTGATGGCCCCACCTGACCTTTTTGCGATTGACATATCACATTTTCAATGAATTGCAGGCTTCCAACGATCAGAAAACTCATTATAATGTGGACAAAATGGCAAACAAACAAGGGCTAAAGAAAAGGCTTGTAATTTCAATAGCATTGATCGTCATCAGTTATATATATATAAACATTTTTTCCATCAAAAAATGTGGTCCAACACTGCTACCACTATGCTATTTAATTTCCATAATATCAGAATACTGCCAATTAAAATGAGATCATACCAATTTTTTTTTTTAATAAATAAATCGTCTGAATGGAAGTCGAATGCTTCGTTTGGAGGGTATATTTTTTAATTTTAAGAAAATTCGACGTATATATATATAGTGGGGCTAGGAATCTTGGAGAACATAAAAACATACAAATATGCAAAAATCAGCATTGTCACCAAGTCAAGACTTTATATATATCAACACAAATATTTAATTCTGCAACAAATTTCAAATGTGTTTGTAGAAAAGAACTTATTGTCACTACATGACTTCTGCAGCATTTATATTGAGTTGAAAGAGATTGATTTATAGAAAATGCAGTAGACCTAATTGCTATCTAGGATGTGAATTATTCAACATTTAATGAATAACCAATGTCGTTATGGCAAAGTGAAGGTAAATATAATAGTATAATATGATTCGTTAATGTTAATCGAGCAATAGTTTTGATGAGGAGCATCATGTGAACATGAGGGCGATTGGATCTTGTAAGGAATTCTCAAAAGTAAAATCTCAAAGAACATGGGCGATAAAGGGCTTAGTCGCGCCTTTCTTATTAGCTCGGGTTTTTGAGATAACTGGTTTCGTTTTACTCTTTAACATGCAGCTTCGTACATTGATACAATATTGAACTGAATACATTTGAGATGAAAAATATTTAATTATTTAAATTTTGTATTCAAACATCAAATTATAGGAAAGTGATATGTATTACTTGGGAGTTGGGACCAGCATTGTGATAACTTAATCAAATCCAGTTTCTACCTTGAAGTTTCCTTGTCCCTTGATGGATAGAAACCTAGTATAAAACCTGTGTTTATCTTCATCTGCTACATCAAGAACCCAAATATTATTTGAAGATTAAAAACGAAGGATGGAAATTCTTATGTCAAACTGGACAGATGTTCAATCTTTGCCAAAAAGTTATGTATTCCCACCAGACAGAAGGCCTGGGGACAATCCTTTTCCTGTCTGCAAAAATGTTCCTGTAATCGACCTCGAAAAGGCCAAAGGCCATGACAGAGTCGAGACAATTCAGCAGATTCTTAATGCAAGCCAAGAATTTGGATTCTTTCAGGTTCATGCTCTCTAGTTCATGGGATTCTAAATTGTTACTGTATTTTAACGAAAAAACTACGTGTTGTGACTTGTGAACTTTAATGCAGGTGATCAACCACGGAGTCTCTGATAGTTTAATGGATGACACGATGAGCATATTTAAAGAGTTCTTTGGGATGCCTGCTGAGTACAAGGTGAGCTTTTACTCGAATGACATCAACAAAAGTTGCAGAATTTACTCGAGCACATTGAACTACCAATCTGAAGAGGTTCATTATTGGAGAGATAATTTCACTCATCGATGCCATCCAATCGAAGATCACATTCAACATTGGCCAGAAAGGCCAGCCAGATACCGGTATAATTCTTTATCTTCGTTTGCTTGATTTTTCATGTATTGTGAAATAAAAAAAGTCAATTTGGTAGGTAACTGATGGGATTTTCATTTGATCTTTTCAGAGAAGTTGTTAGTGCATACAGTGTTGAAGTGAGAAAGTTTCTGTTAAGGATTTTGAATTTGATTTCTGAAGGACTAGGAGTCGAACTGGGGTATTTCGATGGTGATTTAAGTAAAATTCAATTGCTGTCTATTAATCATCATATTCCATGTCCTGATCCAAGTTTGACACTGGGAATGCCTGAACATTGTGATCCTAATCTCATAAGTATGCTTCAACAGTGTTCAGTACCAGGACTTCAGGTGTTCTTGGAGGGCAAATGGATGGGAGTTGAGCCTCTGCCTAATGCCTTTCTCGTCATCCCGGGGCTCCAGTTGAAGGTATTTTTTAATTCCATCTCATGACATTCTGATTGAACCAGCCAAAAGTTTGTTGGATGCAGGCCATACTCCAGACTATAAAGCTTTCACATACAAAGAATTCTTCAGCACTTTCACTGGGAAAAACTGTGATGCTGAAGTTGCCTTGGAGTTTTTCAAGAATAAGCCTGTTGAAAAGAAATAAGCACAAGGACTTTGCTGCTATTGCTTTATCTTTCTTGTAATAGACGTTTGTCCCTTGCAGATTGTGATTTTCCATCGTAATAAAACTATGTTTAAGATAAATATTCGTGACTTCGACTATTCTTGGCCTAAAGGCGAATGTTTGTTTATACCACCATGCTACATCAACAAATTAAGCTTTGTTCCCCGATAAATTTGAGGTCGACTATGTCAATATTTAGGAAATAATAAAATTTTGACGTGTGTATGATAATATATTAGTTCTTGACTTATTTTCTTTTAGCTATAAGCTTTGCACATGAATAATGCTACTTGCAGTCGTCGCTCACTGCAGCAGTCGCCCTATGTGACATACACATGTCAAGTATGTATTTGATGCATTAAATGTGGTAAAAAACTAACACATTAATGCATCAAATAACTACATGCCATGTGTGTGCCACATAGGGCTGCTGCTGCTGCAGTGAGCGACTGTAAGTAGCATTACTCTTTGCACATAAACCCTTCACTTGTTGAAATATAAGTATTTACATATTTAATGCAGAGTGCTAAAAAAGAAAAAAATAATAAAAAATGAACACAGCGCTTAAATAATAAAATTTTACGTGCTTTTTTTTTGGCTCTGTATTATTATCTATGGTACCAAATACGTTGTAACGTTAACGGTAAAAGTAAAACCCATCAGGCTTCTCAATTCGTTTCTCAGAAAAACTCTCCCTCCCAAGGTATTGATTTAATTCGATTAAAATCTCACTTTTATTTTTAATGGATTGATTTATTCTTGCTCCCATTGATTGATGGGCTTCGATTTATGTAATAATTTGAATTTTTAGGGGCGTAATTTTTTAATATTATTTCTGTTTTTGTTCTCTGTCTAGGATCTTTTGAAATTACTGACCGATTGTTGCTGTTTTTTTTATAAATTTGTTTTTTTGGTTGGAATTACATTTTATCTGCCACTGATCTATCATTCAAAAAATGATTGCCTCTGTTTTCGAAATTGAACGAGTTGTTCTAGTCTTATCTGTGTTCAAAATTTCTAATGAATCTCAGTTTAGCAGAATCGTTTCTCTCTCTAGTAAGTTGTGACACTCCTTCAGATCTGTAGCTTCCATCATAATATCAAGTTATGGTCCTTCTCTAAAATTAGCATTTGAGATTCACGATTTGAATTCTTTATGCCTTGTGTGAGTTCTAATGTTCATATATAATCTTGTTGGATGCAGAATTTTGAACCCTAAGCTGTGGCAAGTTTTTGTTATCCAAAAGTAATCTCCAGATAATTTGATCTCCTTATCCATGAATTCTAGAAGGTTTTTGCCCCTAATTATCTTATCACTTCAACAATTTGTTTACAAACTGTATCTTACAATTGCATTACTGTTTCAAAATTGCTTTTTTCTACAGGATAATGTTGAAAATTATGGATTGAGAAGGGTGTGAAATTTTGTATGTAGCATCGATTGACTAGTATTTTACTTAGTATGGTTGCTCTAACTTATGGTAGAAATGTATTAAATTATTAGTGCATCAAATAGCTACTTTGTAGTGCATACGAATTCGAGTATTTTATTTGTTTCTTAGATGATTGATGCTAGTGAAATGTGTCAGGATTTCAAAAGCTTATTTGAACTATTTTCTTGCATGAAGTGATGTGGGATTTGACACTTGTGCTATAGGAGCCTAAAACATTCTTAAGAACTAAAATTGAGTAGTTTTCATTCTGGATAGATGACATAAAATATTTGTGTCTCAATGCTAATATGGCTTCTAGGATTATGGGGTTCGATTCTGTTGGTGTTGGTTCATCACTAATTAATGTCCTGATGATTCAATTTATTGAACTTGGCAGTATGTTCGAAGTATTGGTTTTTCTTTGGAGTTACCTATTGTAGACAAAGGAAAAGAATGCAGAGTAAAAGTGTAGATATGGTTTTATGGAGGAGACCTAGACCACATGAATTCAACTGGAATTCATTTTCCTAAGGTTCTCAGAATTGTGAACTCCAAAGAAGATCATCTCTTTAACCATTTTAACTATATCCATTAGCAGTAAAACCTTGTCAACTTCAACTATATTATAAACCAGAATAGCTAACTGATCACTTTTCCATTTCTATTGCCTGACATTCTACTGCATATGAGAGTAATTATGCTTTGCAATCTTGCATGTTAATGCCGTAATTGGTTGGAAGGATGAAGTGAGGCCAGTACCCACATTTATATATTCTTAGTAACACCCGGTAAAAACAATTGAATAAAGGATTGTCTTTCCATAAAAAATCCGAATTTTCACTTGCTTTTTTATGAAAATGGAGAATAAATCAACAATAAGATGTTACATATGTTTTTTTAAGCTATGACACTCATTCTCCCTTTTATCACAATCTTAACATTAATGGTTTATAGTAAAACAGAGTGAAAGGGGTTCATCCAGAAAACTAAAGGGACCTTCAGATGGTTATTTTCTTCACACATATTGTTATGTTTTCTCTAAGAATTGTAGCTATGAATATCTCAGTTTTATTTGTCTTAGTTGGATAAATAGCAATCCTGTAAATGTCCAAGACCTTTTTAACACAAGTAGTCTATAGCTCTTGAATCTGAGGGCCATCTTGCATTAGAATCTTTACTAGTGGTTTATGGAAATCAAGTTTGTCAAGTTCCTTTTTAAAACATTTGAAGAACCTGTTCTTTGATATCCTCTTGTTCTAGTACTTCACCATGCATTCTTCTAATTCAGGGAGCGTAATGCTAGAGCTGCTCTTTTTGATGGTATTGAGGAAGGTGGTATCCAGGTTTCATCTTCTTATTCCTCTCGTGAAATTGATGAACAAGAGAATGACAGAGCAATTGATGGGTTGCAAGAACGAGTTAGTCTGCTGAAAAGAGTAAGTTTGTAATTGATGGGATTGACTGTTCCTTGGTGGGAAAAAAAAAAATTATTTCTTACCATGTAGATGGGTGAATATCAAAGTTTTGCTATTAATCTGACGATTTCTTGATTAACGAGCGTGAAATTTTTAGCTTTGAAACATTCAGTGAAAGTGGGAAAATGTCAATTATTTGTTGTTTTAACATATGTTTGGCTATTGATTCGTGTGAAATATGGCAATCTTCTGTGTGTATTTTTAGCTTTTTATTAGATTTTTCTTATCCAAGGCTTGAGCATGCTCTGCATGAACAGTTGTCAGGTGATGTGCATGAGGAGGTCGAGGCTCATAACAGTATGCTGGACAGGATGGTGTGTATACCGGAGAAATATTTTCCTTTATCTTGAATACTTATTTATTTAACAGTATCATTGTAACGTTCTTGGTTTTTTTCTAACTTCGGGTTTTTAGGGCAATGACATGGATGCTTCAAGGGGAGTTTTATCAGGAACCATGGATAAATTTAAGATGGTTTGCCAGATCTAGCATTTACTCTGTCGCCATTTCCTTTACTAATCCCCCGGGCACTTAATTTTCTCAGTACGAGCATGTTACTTTTTGTAGGTTTTCGAGACCAAATCAAGCCGGAATATGTTTACACTCGTGGCATCGTTTGTGGTTATTTTTCTCATTATCTACTATCTCACTAGGTAAGCGGTTATAAAAATTCGAGAACATCAGTAACTTTCTTTGGGCCCGCGATTTATTGCGACTGCTGCATTGATATTCATCATCAGAATGTAGTGTGTTACGAGTCTTCTGACCTTGTAATCTGTATAAGGGGACTCCCAATGCAACGTGCACTTGAATATTTTGTGGAGTGTATGGGGACAGTTAGCAATTTCTTCGGCTTTTTTAATATTCGTTTGAAAAATTATGGATGTTCGACAGTAGATATGAAAAAGGAAAAACATGTTCATCTCCAATGTTTAGAAATGGACATTTTAGTCCTCGACCTTTCTGCCCAATCCCCAATCTTTGCAATTGCTGACCATGTTGCAAGATGAGTTTCTAGTTTTTGAAGTTTTAGTTCGTGATCTTATAAATTGTTACTGGGCTTCTCAAATTACTTAAAACTCAATCTATCAAAAATTATTTTAACAAAAAAAAGTCAAAATTAAGCCCATGTTTGGTTCCCCTTTTTTAAACTCATTTTTCTTCAAACACATTTATGGAATTTGTAAGTTTTATTAATTTTTTAATCATATATATCATCAATTTTTATTAAAATTTATTAAAAATTCGATTTTTAACTAAATCCTCAAAAGCTAAATAGGAAATGTCAATTGACACGTGAAAAAAGGTGTGGCTAGAGTGCAATGGGGCAGGGAAGGGTACCGGGCAATTCCTCAAATTTACTAATCAATTTAATTTCTTGTAAATTATTTAGCCCCTGTTTGGATCACGTTAAAATTTGCATTCTCATTCTTCTACTTATTTTCAATTACATATTCTTCAATAAAATAATATTTTACATCATATCAATAATTTTTCCTTCTTTTTCAATCACACATTTTTCATCAATTTACTATTCCAAAATACATTCTTTCAAAATAATGTGGCTCAAACACACTCTTAGAATTATATAAAGTAATCAATAAAGTCCATGTTTGATGGTCATTATTTTGAAAAAATGATATATAATTCAAAAATAGAGAAATATTTCGAATTTATTTACAAAATATTTTATTATGTAAATGTGTAATTAAAAATGAATATGAAAATTAAAAAATTTTATTGACAGCCTGGCTCCCATAGTCTGGGACTTGGCTCATGGCTAACCATGTCTTATTCGGTTATTCCAACCTGAATGAAGAAAAACAATTGTTGAATTCAATGAACTAGAAACTATCGATACTTTGAACTTGTCATGTCAGACTGATTTATTTATTCGTCGTGAATTTAATTATTTAAAGTAATCAATTTAATTATGGATGACAATTTTGAACTTACATTGTTTTCCTACGAAGTCCACTCTTGATATTATATTTAAATAACTAGATTTTATTGACGACTTAGCTCCGGCCTCCGGGATCCTAGGACTTATTTGGATAATGACTAACCCATGTCTTAGTCCAACCTGAATGAAGAAAAAACAATTTTTGAATCCGATGACCTGTGGACTATGTTAATATTTTGAACTTGTCGTGTCGGACTGAGTTACAAGTCATGTATTCTAATATAATACATCATGCCGTTGTAGACTTGGGGTTGTGGCTGCAACATTGAATATTATTCGTTACCCCTTTTTACACAAAATTCAATGGCTTTGACCTTAGAAAATGAGAAAAGACCCAAACCCACAATTTATAATGCCGCGCTCTTTAAGAAAAATAAAAATAAAAGGCAAAATTGAATTGGGATTATAAGTTAGCACACAATTGAAGATTATCAAACATATAAGAATTGCTAAATTACATTTGATTATGTGTAATTTTTACTTTTGTGCTCATTTTTGTATTTTTCATTTCCATTGGATTTGTTGTGCTTTTGGTTTTTCAAGATAAGTATAAATTAAACCTTATTTTTTTCAACTCCCGACCCATTCAATTTCTTATTCTTTGCAAATCCTTCCAGTCAACATTCAAAGGTTGTATATCATGACTCGAGACAAGAAATATTCAAGTCATACATGCTCATTGTTCTCATGCAATTTAAAATATATATATAGCCCATATCACACACATCAACTCCCATTCCATTAACTTCTTTAACAATTTATTTACTCTTTTCTTAGAGGAGATGAGGGCTCCAAACGTTGTTGTAACTGTAATAGCATTGCTTTTCCTCCTAAGCGTTAGACCGTATGAATGTGCTCGAATTCTAGACGATGAAGAAAAAGAATGGACGAAAACCGAACAACATCTTCTATTACCATCTTTGCAAGGTGGCACTCCCACACCGAATAGTTGCAGCTATGTCCCCGGAGGTAGTGGCCGCCCATGTAGAAGCACCATCAGCGAGAAAAATTTTGCAGGTCGTGTTACGGCTCCTCCTCCACCGCCGCCTCTGCCAACACCACCAACTCTTGTTACAAATGCATATCCAAACCAAATGATGAAATTCGGGGTGGCTGCTGAAGATAGTAAATGAAGATGACAGTAGCATTTCTTTGAAGACATTAACAACAATCTTAACAAATCTCAACATGTTTAGAACCCAAAATGGGATTTTTTTTGTTGGGATAAAAAATTATTCTTTTTCTTGATTTATTGTTTCTTGTATGTAATATTAGCATTATATATTCACCAATATTTATAAATATAAATGTACGACTCATAATACCATATTCGACCTATGTTATTGTGGTTGTTTTGTTGTACTTGTAATAAAATACTTGGAACTTATGACACTTATTTTTTCAAAGAATTTTGTGACATGTACATCAACATTTATACAAGAGATTACATAATGTAATATTTTACTATTTGCCAGTTTAATACCTAATGAACTTTTTTATCTAATTTTTTTCCTCCACATCACTTTCGATAATCGTTTATGTACCATTTTGATGTAAAAGTAGCAAAATCCCCTTTTTTGGGATAATTGCAGTACCGATATCAAACATTTCATTTAGTAGTAAAATTTGTCTAAATTTTTCATTTGTGTTATCCACGGTACCAAATCTTTCAAAATGTCACAGCTGAAGTCCAAATAGATTTTTTCTATTAGTTTGACCGTTAGCTGATCAAATAATTGAATTTGACAATAATTTTAACTAATTTTAAAATGTTAAAATGGTAACTTTATATTTTTTATAATAAAATAACTATAATCAAATAATTAAAATTAAAAACTCATTTCCACTCTCTTCTTCTCCACCTACCACACACATACCCACTACATCTCCACCTCAAAAGCATCACCACCACTATCGAACAGTCCAACCGCTCCCACCCAACGTCGGCGCCACTACCATCTTCTCCACCACCACCTTCATTCCCATCATCCAACAAATTTTCAAACCCCAAACTTAAAACCCCACCCTCACTCCAAAACCAAACACAAATTCAGAAAGAAATGGAGCTTTCCCAATTACTTTTGTTAGAGAATAGAAGAGGGATAACCTCAACTTCCAATTACTTAACTGGACTCGAAAGTTATGACATTACTGGTGTTGGGAATTTACTTAACATGCACAGCGAAAAATTAATAATTTTTCAATTTCCACCACGGATCTGCAATGTGTTTAGATAGAAACTGTGTTGAGAATTATACCTTTGATGAATTCTGCAAACTCTTTTGCTGATTCTCGAACTCCAATGATCACGATCTACAATCTAAGCTGTCCAATTGTCCAACCTCCNCCGGGACCTAGTCCAGTAAAAGAGCCATCCACTATAAAAATAATGGGATACACAGTTTCTTCTCTTGAGCCAACTCCAAAGTCTAACTCTACATCAAGAACACATCTAGTCCTTAGATATCAACAATAACAACATCATAAAGATAAATGCACACTATAAAAGGAAAAATCTCATAGAGGAGTGTGCAAAGCCCAGACAAACGAAGAGGAATCTGGATGATCCTCCGGTCAAAATGTAGCCCTCTTTGCCAGGAACAACATACTAAATTTCACTTAAATCAGATCACAAATGGACCATCGATCTTTGGCAAGAAGGAACCAAACCTTAGCTTTTCCCTCTATCTCTCGTTCTCTGCTCTGTCTGTTGTATGTTTATATGTATTATATGAACTAATGGTGTGTTCCCTCCCTTGGCATAATAAGTTGGTTATGGGCCCAATTGATAAAGCCCATTAACCAATTAATTGGGCTCTCACTAGGAGGGAAACCCAACAAATCTCCCCCTCCCCGACTACGTGAGGGACTCAACCAAGCCTGCTTTCCTTCTACATACTTGTAGCTTCTCTATGGGCAATGACTTTGTCATCATATCCGAGCC